CAACAAAACCCATATTTATCATCATGGCAATCTATATGATACTCATAAAGAATATTGAAATTTATTGCATACATTCTAAATACCTTGAATATTTTTTTTACCTATATTATAATAAAAAATAAGTATTAGTTTATAAAAAATAATATTTTTTAAATAATTTACCTGATTTGAAAAACAAAGATTACTTAAATTATTAAATATGGATGGATAATAAAATGGCATTATATCTAAAATATAATCTACCAATTTATTGATATTATATAACATTTTGTTAATGTAACTATCAATTATTAAAATATATATATTAAATACAAAAGTATTTAAAATATTATAATTATAAATAATAATAAAAATCAATTACTTATCATGAATGATCATCAATATTGCCATTTTTATTTTTACAGATATAATCTAAGGATTGATACAATAACTTATTATTGTTTTTATAAATATCAAATATTACGTAATTAGTTGTATAATTTCTGAAGCATCCAATAAAGTTTCCTTTAACTTTTTCTTAAAAGAAGGAAATAAATTCCTACTTTTTCTTTTATTATTCTTTAAAAAGAATATTTTTTTTGTACATTGACAATTATTTTGTAATATCCTTCACTATCTTGCAGGTTTTATATATATATTGGTTGCATTGTTGTAAAACTAACTTGTGTAATTTATATAACTCTAATTGATCTTTTGGTATTATCAACATTAATCTTAAAAAAAGGGGCAGCATTATATCTTCAATATAATTAATAACTTGTATTGTTAATTAATATAATTCTTGTATTTTTTTTTCTTTCATTTCTTGAAATTCCAAATTTTGATTTTTGATTTTGTCTTTCAAATTTATAACATATAAGCTAAAGTCCTTCAAACTATTTAATGTGTCCAAATCAACAAATCCATCAATTTCATTTGGGTGGTTGGAAATAAATACGGTCTTATCTCTCTCACAATGGTATAATGATTTCTTCTTATAAAATTCAAATTCTGATTCCAACAATGATCTTGTTTGACCTTGTATAAATAAGGTTTCTCTTAATGCTTGAGAAATTGTTGGCTGTATAATTTTTTTTTAAAAAAAAGGTTTATTATTAGTTCATTTAACGAAGAATATAATAGCAATTAAAATAGTTACATTATATTCTCTACACTGAGAAAAATAGGATACAAAGCTCCATATATTTTTCCATAAATAAATTTTTTTTTTAAAATGATACAAGCAACTCATTTAAAATAATTGAAAAATTTTTCTAGGTATGAATTGTAATTGCCAAAATTTTTTTCATTTGCTAAAGAATAGAATCGATAATGTTAAATGCGGTAAATTTCAAAAAAAAAAAAAGGGGGGAAGAAACATCTATATACCAGTCGTAAATTGCATAAACAGGCCCATAAATTACGATAGTAACATTTGATCTTTCGACGGGATTTTAATAAAGACTTTCAAGAATTTAAAGTTTCGTCCCGCAACCTTAGATTCCTCAAATACTTTTATCCAGTTAAAGGTAGTAACAATGATCCAAGTAGTCGCGCGATTCTTTGAGAGAGGTTGTGATGATGAGATGGCACCAAAGGTATAAAGTTTGTAAGAGGACATATGACCAATTGGACATCATATATCATTGCAGCAACTATAATAGAGGGGCAGTTACAACCAAGTCAGGTGTTTTTGAAAGTCCAGCATCATCATCGAGCATATGATATAGCGACTTGCACAGTGAGATTAGTAACTTCAGCACCAATCTATTTTATTTTCAGGAGAATTCCATCGCAGCTTCGCATAGAGTACCGTTACAACGTACGCCTTCTTAAATTCTTCAGTAAGTGACTTCAGATTCTTAAAAAGGATCAGAAGTTTGGTTCTAACGAAATATGTAAGTTACGCCAGGTTTTCTTTTGTAAAGGTCATCCCATGTAAGTATGATATGGGTTATAAGAGTTAAAGGATGTGAAGCTTCTGTGTACACGTAAATTTCGTGCGTGTTTTCTCAAATTATGTATATTGTATATATATTTATATAGGTTTTGCTTCGTTTGACGAACAAAAATTGCAGATCTTGAAAAGAAAAAATATAAACAAACCATTTATTTATGTTAACGTCACGTATCTAACAATGCGTGATTGGTTGCTAATTATAGCTTTTTTTTTGCCCGGGCCTAAAATATGCGGCTCTAAAACTCAAATTATGCCTGCTTTATATAGTAAGATATGCAAGTATATGCGATAATTTATGCTTCGTTTTTTAAAAAAATGCGATAATTTCATCAAATTACTTTATTTACAATATATTATAACTATACTGGCATTACAAGATTTGATAATAAAATACAAAAAATTCAAGAACATGCCGTCTATCACTAAGAATATTGGTATATGCTGAAAAACTTCGTTCCACATCTACCTCAGATACTGGAAGCCAAATATATTCTAAAGCTAATCTTAATAAATTTGGTATGCTTTTAATTAGTTTTTCCAATAGACATTTAAATCAAATCTTAATTTCTGCGCATATTATGCCGCCGCGAAAAATGAGCCACCCTAAGCCGGTAGCTAAATTTTATGGAAACTCACTCTGGATATAACTTGTAAATTTAGCCCAGATTTGAACTTTTTTTTTTGAATCGGTTCTAATCCCAATAATAACATGAATTATTATTTAAATTTGTCTTTACGAGAACTACATATCCTTTTTGTTAAAAAAAGAAGGAGCCTATAAGAAGAAAGATTAAAATCAGACAAAAGAACATACTACCTTCCAAAAATTATCTACCACTTTATAAAATTAGCATCATCATTAAAATTTTTATTACATTTTTAAGCAAATAATTCGATTGATATAGAAAATCTCAAGCTCAGTTGATAACAAAAATAATATAATTTTTTATTTATTTATTTTTTAAAAAAAGGGTTATCTTATGATTAGATTAAGTTTCTTTAAATATTCTCAGTCAAATACAAAGTTCTTTACCCTTTCCTGTGATTTTAGTTAAATTAACAACAAGAACTAGTTGATTAATCGGAGGACATCAAGCATGTAATGCAAGGATGCAAAACCTACCCTTTATTCCTTAGTTCATCGTATGGCTATATTATATAATTGTATAGTTAGAACTATTATGATGGTTTATTAGGAGAGTTATTATAGTAGAAAATTTCGTACTCTTTGAAGACGTTGACTAACTTGCTGCCTTGATTAGAATCATTTTACGTATCGAGGATAAAGACGATCAAATGCTTTCTTTATATGTGCAGTTGAAAACGAATTCAAGGACGTTGGATTACTGAAAGAGTTTGATAATTATTTGAAAGCTTGCGGTGTGAACATGAAGACCTCTATTACGTCCCATATTGTACGATATTTCAGCGTTTAGGAATAGGAAAAGTCTCATTTATCGCAAATTTTGAGAAACTGGGAACATTTTCGAATGTGAAAAGTCTTGGATTTGGTGTCGAACATTGTTATTTTACAGCTTATTCGTACTGCTCTACTTTGATGACGAAAAATTATTTCAAATACGTATCACTAAAACATTTAAAGGTTGAGCAAGATGATGAACCATATTAATCTTTTTATTAAAATTTTAATTTTTATTGCATTTTAATTTTTGATAATGTTAGATTAAAATGTGATAAAAATTAAAATTTTAATAAAAAATTCTTAGAGCCCCATTTTCCTAGCAAACCTCCCATATGCTGATAATCTCTTAAATAAAAAATTGTGTACAAGGTTAAGCAAAATGAAAATGTGATCTTTTATATTAAAATTTTCAATTTGCTTATATGATATGAAATAAAGATCTTTTTTTTTTAATATTTAAAATAATGAATAGTATAAATTTTCTCATATCAGTATATATCTACGAAATCTCAGTAGAATCAGCTATGAAGAACCATTTTGCGCGACATTATGAAAATTGCCGTCTAATACATTCCAATGAAATGTTAATACGCATGATATACAATAGCGCTATTCTTATACGTAAAAAGATATTTAATAACTATTTTGTATTGCAAGGGATTAAAATTGATTCAAATAAAATTGGAATATCAATTAAATCAATCACTTTGGGCCAAATCTGTATTTTGAAGCACTTATTATACGAAAAAATCAATACATCAAAAAAATAAAGCTTATATCGACTTGGGAAAACATAAAAGATGTACTGTACTAAGCGTAATACCTTTAATTACTTGTTTCTATTCTACGTTCCGTCGAAAGGAAATTCAATCGAGGAAAGTGGTAAATGTTATATAATATACTAGAACCAATCACAATTTTATGAGATTTTAAGGAGTCGGATTATTAAAAAAAAACTATATTTTTTTGTGTTTTTTAACTATAAAACGCCATTAAAGGTAGATATTGTTAAATAACTATATGATATATAATATAATAGATATTTTATTTTAGCAACCTACCCATATGCAGATTTTAATGGATCGGGTCCGGTTACGACTTATGCATCCGAGTCTGTACCTATGAGTAATATTGACCTAAACATTCTAATTTAAAAAATTCTCACATTTTTTTTGAATAATCTAAAAATTTTTTTTTTTTCCTCTAGTGCGGATATATTTTTCGGTTTTAGCATGATACTGACGAAGTAATTGGTCTATTTGTTTGAGTAAAAATTTCAGACGTGCTGATTGATACTTGTGAAAACGCCAATGAGTCGAAAAGGAATTGAGAATATGGGAAGATTGATTGGAAATCAAGTTTTGACTGCATTTAATTAATCTCTATTTTTGCAGATAACTGATTAAGATAAATTTGTGAAGAAGGCGTGCATTTATTTTATTATGAAACGCCATAAATCGAACAAGGAAATTAGCATATGATCTCTATCTATAAACTGATGAAATAAAATATTCTAGTTTATTTAAAAAAAAAAAAAAAGAAAAAGTATTTAATTCTTCGTTTCTCTTTGAACTTTCTTTCAAGTTTCATATTTTGTAAACTTTTTCTTGTATCCTAAAAAAAAAAAATTAACTTAAAATGCCTGTGAATCCAAATCAACTCGCCGTGGGCAGTATGTGTCGTTTATTTCTCTATATCCACAACCAGGGTTTGAATGCTAATAACTCTTTTTCTTCGTTGTTTCTAAAGAGAACATTAGATTCAGAAGCAATGGCCAGATTCACGGCGGAAAAATCCAGAAAATAGATGGGAAAAACATTACCGTTTTTGACAATACCTATAAAAAGGGTTAGTTCTGATCATCTTTCTTTTGCTATATTACGAATATGCCAAAATTAAACTGCTACATTTATAGATGTAGATATCGATTTGGACGATATCATAGAAGTCCTCTGAGAATTCCTCATCTTTTCAAAGTTCTTAAAGATGTTCATTTTGTTACCTAAATAAAGATTCTGATTTCAATTTTAAACTACGCCAATTTCCACTTTGAGACACAATTACAATTAAGATCACATGATATGTTTAGCCGCATAAACGTTGCATAATACTAACCATGATTGAATTATTGGTCAAAATTATAATTCAATAAATTCTACTTGAAAGACGTCTGAATTTCGAAATTATCTTGAGATTATCAGATTTTACATTAAACTGCATTTCATGTGAATTTAACAAACAAGTAAGATAGCTTTCGTAAAAAAAGTCCGGACTTGACAAAAAAATATTTGAATATTTCCATGTATTCGTTTCAGAATGTTTGTTTGAAATTGTATTAATAAAAAATTTATCTTAACGAATGTTTTAGTTAAAATTATAAATAAAATAAACTTGGTATATTTTATAAAAATGGTTATTACTGCGGTTTGTTTCGTGATTTTAATTTTTCATTAAATTATGCCAATTAGATGACGACATCATGAGAAATTTTGAACCTGAATTTCTAAAATAAATGGTTTGACAGACGCTATCAAGCATTTAATGATGTTGGTGTAGACCGCCTTAAAGTCAAAAGTTACTTTGCAACTATCTGAATCCGGTCTACAGATGCTATCGTGACTATTGAACAACAGTACAAAATATTTAAATTTTTTAAAGATTAATTTTGATTTTCATCTTAATTAATCTTGCTTAAATAATAAAATGTTTTTTTCACGAAAGGAATTTATAGATAAAATTCATATAATATCACATTTTTAGTTTATTTATTTATTTTGCATAAAGTCCAGATATAGCGAAGTTGCCTCATAATACAACAAAGCAACTATATTAAGTAATTTAATAGAATATCAAATGTATTATCAGGTTAATCAATATTTTCGTGCTTTAATAATTTTTTTTTCCCCAACATATACACAAGTTACGTCTTGAAATTAAGGTATTTTTTAAGATCCTTTTAAAAGTATGGACAAATACATAGTTTTGACAACAAAAATATAT